GATTCATTCAACTGCAGGCTTATAGTCGACTATTACAATTAGACTTAAAAAAAAAAAAAAAAAAAACCCAGAGCAATTCAAGCATAATTTATTGAGTTACAGTGAAATTGTAACCATTAATTAGTGGAAAATATACTTTTAAACAATACAACTTTCAGAAGTTGACTTTCATTACAGACCCATGTCTCTTCCTGTCCTTCCTCCTCTTCACATTATAAACTAATATGTACATATATAATAACACTTCAACAACTCTTCGAATTTAGAATACATGGTTGAGGACTTATTCATGGCACCCATAATCAAGTATACTGATTAGCAAGTATATCTGATCCAGACTGTCATTTTTGAATTAAACAAACATTAATTATGTAAAAAATGATTGAAGAAACTGCTATATAAGGTCACCCGTTAACCTTGAATGAAACCACAACCGGCTTCCAAGAGTTCTTAGGAACTGTAATCTCTTCTGCGAAATTTTAGAAGCTAATTTCTTGGATGAGATTTTGTATTGGACAGATGGGGCATTGGCCTCATCTGGTTTTAGCAATCTCATTTTGTGTAATAGCCACTGCAGTGGTTGCTTATGAGCCTTATATTTATGCTTCGCCACCGCCACCAAAACATCCTCAACACTACTATAAACACCCTGTTCTGAAATCCCCTCCACCACCGAAGTATGTGAAACACCCACCATATCATTACAAGTCTCCTCCTCCACCGCCCAAGTATGTCAAACATCCACCTTATCATTATAAGTCTCCTCCACCACCACCAAAATATGTAAAACATCCTCCGTATCATTATAAGTCTCCTCCTCCACCTCCAAAACATGTTAAGCATCCACCTTATTATTACAAATCTCCTCCACCACCACCTAAATATGTAAAACACCCTCCATATCACCACAAGTCTCCTCCTCCCCCACCAAAGCATGTCAAGCATCCGCCTTACTATTACAAATCTCCACCACCGCCACCTAAATATGTAAAACACCCTCCATATCACTACAAATCTCCTCCTCCGCCTCCTAAGCATGTCAAGCATCCGCCTTACTATTACAAATCGCCTCCTCCCCCACCAAAGTACGTGAAACATCCTCCTTATTATTATAAGTCTCCTCCACCTCCAAAATATGTCAAGCACCCACCTTACTATTACAAGTCACCACCACCACCATCTCCATCACCGCCTCCTCCATATGTTTATAAGTCACCACCACCTCCGTCACCATCACCACCTCCACCTTACGTCTATAAGTCTCCTCCTCCACCATCTCCATCTCCACCACCACCTTATATCTACAAGTCTCCACCACCACCCTCTCCCTCACCTCCTCCACCATATGTTTACAAATCACCACCTCCACCACCAAAGCACGTAGAACACCCTCCATATCATTATAAATCACCACCACCACCCTCTCCTTCACCTCCTCCGCCATACGTTTACAAATCACCACCTCCACCACCAAAGCACGTAGAACACCCTCCATATCATTATAAATCACCACCACCACCCTCTCCTTCACCTCCTCCACCATACGTTTACAAATCACCACCTCCACCGCCCAAAGCACGTAGAACACCCTCCATATCATTATAAATCACCACCACCACCCTCTCCTTCACCTCCTCCACCATATGTTTACAAATCACCACCTCCACCACCGAAGCACGTAGAGCACCCTCCATATCACTAT